GTGTGTGTGTGTGTGTGTGTGTGTGTGTGTGTGTGTGTGTGTGCGAAACTACGCTTTGATATGGATCAAAAACAAAACACTACCACTATTTTCTTGTAACATTTAGACCAAGTACTACAAATAATGTTAGTTGAGCGTCTGACGGATGATAATGATGATGACAATGATGAAAGTGATAATGATAATAATAATGACAATAATGACGATGATGATAATGATAATAATAAAAAATGAAAATAAGACTCCTCAGATCTAGCCTCAGAATAATGATGCCAGACACTCACTAGCCTCCCCCCCACGCCCTCCCTCTATCCCCCCCCCTCCCTCCCTCCCTCCCGTGCCACACACCAGTTATAGGGTGACCCTTGACCCCGCATGACCGCACGAAGGGGGTGCCACTTCTATATTGCCTTCGCTCACCTTCGGGCTTCGGGGGGAGAGGAGCTGGTGATTGGATGATGATTGGGGTTGGAGGGGGAGGGGGGAGGGGGGAGGGGGAGGGGAGAAGGAGAGGGGAGGGAGAGGGAGGAGGGAGAAGGAGAGGGAGGAGAGGGGGAGGGGGAGGGGGGAGAGGGAGAGGGAGAGGAAGGAGGGAAAGGGAGGGAGAAGAAGGAGGGAAAGGGAGCTGGAGGAGGGAGGAGGGAAAGGGAGGAGGAAAATGGGGAAGGGGAGAAGGGGGGGGAGAAATAAAAAAGTACGTCACATACCTCGAATTAGAATTTATAATCCGTTCTTAAAAGGCCCTTTTCCATAACCTATACATATTCATTCAAATAACTTATGGCACTATCTCCACTACCTGTTTCCAAGGTTGCTCTCTCGTACACCCCCCCCCCCCCCCCCCCGTAAATAACCATTCAAATGACTTAAATTACGACAGTCTAACCTTTATCTCTTTTTAAGTAGGTTTTCACCTCGTAAATAATAATTCAAATAGTCTATAATAATATCGGATCCACCCAATGTATTCCCATCAAATTATTGGCGATCATTACCATCTGTGTTGTATTAACAATAAAAAAAAAATCACGCTCGCAAATATTCATTCTTTGACTTAAAAGGTAAGGGTAGCCGTTCTATAACTTAAAAGGTAAAATAGCCCTTACGGCATTTTATCTACAAGCTAAATCATTAAAAATACACATAGAAATCATCACCCAAGCCATTTATTTTTTAAAGAACGTTTTCTCCCGCTTGCAAATCATGATGCAAATGAATCCTATATTATCTTATTCTATTCTATCTTATAATATTATCTTATTCTACTATTTTTTTCTTTCCAAGGATAATATAAATATTCCAGCCCCGTCGATGAGAAACGGCACGAACGCCTTACTTTCGTCTTCGATATTACTTATACCACTTTTTCCGAGCCAAACATAATACAAGTAATATAAATAAAATAATATAAATAGTATAAATAATTTCAATAATATAAATAAATAATATGAATAAATAATATAAATAAATAATATGAATAAATAATATAAATAAATAATATGAATAAATAATATAAATAAATAATATGAATAAATAATATAAATAAATAATATGAATAAATAATATAAATAAATAATTTGAATAAATAATATTAATAAATAATATGAATAAATTATGTAATTATATATTATAAATAAATAATAAAAATAAATAATGTAAATAAAATAATATAAATAATATAAATATTTTAGATAATATAAATAAATAATATAAATGATATGAATAGTATGAATTTAGTATGTAGTATGTATTTTAAATAATACAAATAAATAATATAAATAATATGAATAGTATGAATAATACAAATGCCCCACAAGCACACAATAACCCGTGGTCTCCCCCCCCCCCTTAGTTGGTGATCGTGGGCAACGGAGCCGTGGGGAAGTCCTCGATGATCCAGCGCTACTGCAAAGGCACCTTCACCAAAGAGTACAAGAAGACCATCGGCGTCGACTTCCTTGAGAGACAGATTACGTAAGTGCAGGGTTTTTTTTGTGTCAGGTTCTTTGGCTCTGTGTCTGGCTGTGTGTGTGTGTTTGTGTGACTTTCTCTGTTTCTTTGGTTTGTCTCTCTTTCTTTCTCTCTCTCTTTCTTTCTTTCTTTCTTTCTCTCTCTCTCTCTCTCTCTCTCTCTCTCTCTCTCTCTCTCTCTCTCTCTCTTCTCTCTTCTCTCTCTCTCTCTCTCTCTCTCTCTCTCTCTCTCTCTCTCTCTCTCTCTCTCTCTCTCTCTCTGTTTCTGTCTTCTTCGTCTGTCTTTTTTGCTTTGGTGTTGAGTCTTTTTTCATGTTCAGTCGCTTCGTTTGTTTGATATGTAGTTTCCGTATCTATTAGTCCAGTATTGATTAACGAATTAACTATATGGCCTTAAGTAATAATCACTGTTTGTAGTAATACAAGGATGTGAACTTCATATTAAGTCATTCGTCTTATATAGCCAGATACTTCATTTTCGTTATATTTGCCTCCTGAAAAAATCCCCATAATGTTGTCACTCTCTTTTTGTATCTGAAGGTAGTCTTTGTCTCTTTCTGTCTTCGCATCTTTATTTCTCACTGCCTATCTCTGTTTTTCAACCTGTCACCTTTCCTTTGTTTCTCTATCTTCCTCTTTTTACCCTGCATCACTCTTCCTCCTACGTGTATTACCCTGTCACTTTTCCTTTAGTTTTCTAGCACATTCTTTTCACTTTGCTTCGATCTACCCTTACGTTCATTTTTTTCTGTTTTGCTTCTTTTCTCTTTCCTTCCTCCTCTCCCACTCATTTTCTGGCCTTTTCCATCCTCACTTGCTGGTTCTTCTTTAGCTTTTCATCCTTAGACACTTGTCTCCCCTACCCCTTCTACCCTCACCCCCCCCCCCTCGCTGACTCCTCCCGTACCTTCTTCTCTATTCATCTTCTTCTTCTCTCCTTCCCTTCCCCTACTTAATATCTGACTCCTTCCTCCCTCCCTCTCTCCCTCCCTCCCTCCCCCCCTCCCTCCCTCCCCCATTCGTCCACTGCTCGCCCCCCCCCCCTTTCCCTTTCCGTTCGCTGACTCCTCATCCCCCATTTCGCCTTTCATCACCCATTGACAACCTCTCTACCTCCCCCACTAATTTTCCTCCTCCACTCCCTACCCTCTGCCCAACCCCCACTGACTTTGTCCCCTTTCCTTTCCTCACCTCTCACTGACGCCCCCCCCCCCCCCCACTGACTCACCGACTCATCCCTTTCCTTTCCTCATCCTTCACTGAATTCCCACCTGATCCTTCCCTTTCCCCAACCTCCACTAACTCTTTCTATCCCCCTCCCCCCAACTCACCCATTAAATTTTCCCTTTCCCTCTCACCCCCAACTTACTCACAAACTCCATCATCCCCTTTCCTCCCCTCCCTCTCTCTCTTCCTCTTTACCTCCCCCTCCTCTTTTCCTCCATTCCTCCTCCCCTCCTCCTTCCTCTTCACCGCCCCCTCCTCCCTTCCTCCCCTCCCTCTCCCCCCTTCCTCTTCATCTCCCCCTCCTCCCTTCCTCCTCCCCTCCCCTCCTCCTCCTCCTCCTCTCCCCCTTCCTCTTCACCTCCCCCTCCTCCTCCTTCCTCTTCACCTCCTCCTTCCTCTTCACCCTCACCCTCCCCTCCTTCCTCCTCCCCTTCCCTTTCCTTGCTCTCCTCCTTCCTCTTCACCTCCGCCTCCCCCTTCCTCCTCCCCTCCCCCTTCCTCTTCACCCTCCCTACCCCCTCCTCCCTTTCTCTTCACCTCTTCCTCCTCCTACCTTCCCACTCCTCCCTTCCTCTTCACCTCCCCCTCCTCCCTTCCTCCTCCCCTCCCCTCCTCCTCCTCCCACCCTCCCACTAACTCTGCCCGCTCTCCCTCCCTCCCCCACAGGATAAGCGGCGAGGAGGTGCGTCTGATGCTGTGGGACACGGCCGGCCAGGAGGAGTTCGACGCCATCACGAAGGCCTACTACAGGGGCGCCCAGGCCTGCGTCGTCGCCTTCTCCACCACCGACAGGGACTCCTTCAGCGCCGTCAGGAAGTGGAAGAAGAAGGTGGGGAAATAAGGGATGGTGGCGGAGGGGGGGGAGGAGGTGGAGGAGGAGGAAGAAGAAGGAAGGAAGGAAGAAAGAAAGAAAGAAAGAAAGAAAGAAAGAAAGAAAGAAAGAAAGAAAGAAAGAAAGAAAGAAAGAAAGAAAGAAAGAAAGAAAGAAAGGAAAGAAGGAAGGAGGGAAGGAGGGAGGGAGGAGGGAGGGAGGGAGGAAGGGAGGGAGGAAGGGGAGGAGGAGGGGAGATGATGGTGGTGAAGACGAGAATGATTTAGGGAGAGTGTTAAGGGTGATAGGGTAGTAATTTAGGGAGTATTTTAGGGATGATAGTATTTTAAGGTATATTTTAAGGATGATGATGAATTAGGGAGTATATTAGGGAAGGCAATGATTTAGAAAATAATTTAAGGGTGATAGTGATGTAAGGACCATTTTAAGGATCGTAGTGATTTAGGAAATATTTTAGGGACGATAGTGATTTCGACCGTATTTTAGGGAAGAGAGAAAGTTTAAAATAAATGGGGAATAAATCAGCTTTGGTGGATTTTAGAGACGACAGTGATGCTGATTAAATAAATTGGAAACGAAAACCAACAAATAAAAAAAGTTATCAAAGTGGGCATTGAAGCTATTAGATGGTCTAAAGATGGACTTTAAAATCTATTACAAAATTAAATTCTGATGCTTTTGACAAATTTTCAAAAGAACTATGCAAATACCTCCTCACACCTGATGCTTATAATTAAGGGTTTGCGCTATAAAGGAAAACGAATATCGATGTGGTTCACTTTACAATACAAACAAATGTAAATAGAGTTTATTGTGCAATGTAAAACAAATAGACATATTTCTACAGACATGCGGACTCACCTACAGATATTATTTTATATTTTTTTTTAGTGATTAATATTTGTATACCATCTTAACTTGGTTTTACAACCCTCTAACCCCCCCCCCCCTCCCCCCCCCCAGGTCGAGGA